GTCAGTCAGCAAAAGACAAGTATCATATGATCTCACTCATATGTGGAATCTAAGTAACACAATAAACTGTTGAACATAGTGGATCCAGAGACATAGAAGCATGCAACAGAGTGCAGAATCTCAGAGAGAAGGCGGATGAGGATGGGAGGTAATCAACCAAAGACCTTGTATGCATATATGCATGGCCCATGGACACAGACAATGGGGCGGTGAGGTCCTGGGGTGGGGAGTGGTGGTGGACTGGAGGGCATCTATGGGGGGAAAAAAGAAACATATGTAATACTTTCAAAAATAATTATTTTTTAAAATTCACTTAATAGAACAGTAAAACAACAACAAAAAAAATAATAGTCTTTTCATCATTCCCAACAGCTTCCCCAAGCTCCTTTGTAACATACCTGACACCAGTTCTCTTCCCAGTCAATCACTGATTGCCTTCTGTAACTGTGGTTTGCATTTTCTAGAATTTTGCATAAATGAAGACATGCCATATGTGTTCTTTTTTTTTTTAATTTGGTCTAGCTTCTTGTATATATCAATTCATTCATGTTGTTTTTGTTTCAATTTTTTGGTTCCCTTTTATTTCTGTGTAGTATTCCATTGTGTGGCTATATCATATAGATGGACATTTGGGTTGTTTCTAGATTTTGGCTATTATAAATAGAGCTGCTATAAACATCCTTATACGCACCTTTTATTCCTCTTGAGTACATACCTAGGAGAGGAATGCTAAGTCATATGGTAGGCACCAACTTAATTTTTTAAGAAACTACCAATGAATTTCCCAAAGTGTTTACCATTTTATATTCTCACCAGCAGTGTATGAGAGCTCCATTTGTCTCCCTTTCTTGTCAGCAGTTGGTATGGCTTGCCTTTTCAATTTTAGTGATTCTATTTGGTGTGTTTATATTTCTTGTAAAATATTTTTTTATTGATTTCAGAGAGGAAGGGAGGGGTAGAGAGAGATAGAAACATCAATGATGAGATAGAATCATTGATTGACTGCTTCCTGCATGCCCCACACTGGGGATAGAGCCCACAACCTGGACATGTGCCCTGACCTGGAATGAAACTGTGACCTCTAGTTCACAAGTCGACACTCAACCACTGAGCCATGCACGGCTGGGCTGTATTTCATTTACTTATTGTTCATTTGTTCATGTCTTCTTTTGTGAAGTTTCTGTTCAAAATTTTTGCTCAGTTAAAAAAAATTGGGTTGTCTGATTATTCTGATACATATCCTTGGCTGATGCATGTGGTATAAATATTTTCTCCCCTTCTGTACCTTTTTGTTTTCTTAATGGCCTCCTTAAGAGTGAAAGTTTTTAATTTTGAAGAAATCCAAATTATCAGTTCTTTCTTTTATGTTTATGCTTATTTATGTTTTATATAAGGAAACTTTGTTTACCTATACAAAAATTTTCTCCTTTGTTTACTTCTAGAAGTATTAGAATGTTAAGTTTTAAATTTGTTTTTATTTATTGATTTGAGAGCGAGAG